AAATGCATCTTATATAAATGGTCTACTGGTAGTCTAAAAAGCCTACTTATAAACGAAAAATAAAGATATGCATTGGGATAACGCGAAAGAAAAATGAAACTTCTCATCAGTTAAATTTTGACAGTTTATATATCAGGCCTTTATTTGCTTCAACAGCATACAGTAGTCAGTTTTGAAAAATATATTTATCAGGGATCCTAAAGGGCTGAATAATAGTACGACGTAAGTATTTCACAAACCAAAGAGGATTCGCCTTGTTGTTCAGATGAGGAGGTTTGGGGCTGCTGAATGACTGCTTGTTGAGATGAAGATCGTGGAGCAGAACTAAGATGACGACGATAAACAAAGTACTCTCCAATGATACCAGAGAGTATGGACAACAAACGCTCTTGATGGCTGCAACGGCTTCTGATGAGAGGGTGCCGGAGAAGCTCCGCAAGCTGAGCAAAAAAGTCAACGCCCTTGATGCCTTCAGAAGATATTTTTGAAGACGTGTAGGAAGCATTTACATTATTAGCTGGATCAGGAACTAAACTGCAAGAGGAAAGCTGATCCCTCAGGCTAAATTGATTCGCTGCAAAGGCGTCTTGAGGACTATGTTGATGATGGATAATTTCAGCCGCTGAGAGCAAGAGCAAAGAAATGGGACAGATAGAATAGTTGAGAAAATAAAATAGAGCTAAGGCTCATATATATCAGCTGAAATTTAGACCAGAGAAGGATTTTTGATCCGATAAATATGGTAGAATATGGAAGAAGGAAATGATTTAAAGTAGTGATATAAACTAGATCCGATTGTTTGTTTATAATAGTCTGGAACGAGTGAACTTCATTAGAGCTCTATATTTTGGCAATAGATGAAAATTTTTGATTGAGCGAAATTGAACTAAAGATTAGCAGCATCAAACCATTGTTGCAAACATTTCAAGGCACGAATAACAATTTATCATTGCCAAAAATAGTATGAACCAAAACTCAATAAAAAACACTGGGTTTAAAAGAGGGATAATATGGATAATAAATTAAGAAAACTATTGTGTAGAGGTAATTTCGAATCAATAACTTACAAAAGCAAAACTTTGAGAAATTTCAGGACGTGTTAGCGACTAAGTTCGATTATTACCAAAAATACGGGAAATCAAAAAACCAGGGAAAGAATAAAAATCCTGAGTAATTTTTATCAGGGCGGAGGAGACAAAACTTATCCTTAAAGGTTTCACAAACAAAGATATAAAATGACGGCAACAAAGTAACCTCTATAAAATGTAAAAAGAAGATAAAATAACGATAATAAATTACAATTTGAGGGTTCCAAATCCATTCTGCTTTCAGAATTAGGAGCGGCGCCATCTGAGCTGGCAGCTGGAGAGAAGTGCTCAGAAATCTGAAGGTCGGTTACCACATTAGATTCAGTAGAAAGTGGAAGATAGCCAGAAGGACGACGATGAGTTCCAGCTGATTTATCGCAGGCAAGAGATTTAGTGTCCGGGCGTGGATTTGCTGCGGAAAGTCGAATGAAAACATCCCAGAAATCTGTCGCTACAGCTAAAATACGTATAGAATTTTTTAAAATCTGGAGTAAATTGTGTAGTCTATTGAATTAGAAAGCAAGTAAGAAAAGCTTACAGTAATGCAAACATTTTATTGTAGTCATATAAACCTGACACCAATAGATAGGCCATAATTGTAGTATTGAGCTAAAGAAGACTCAACATAAGGATTTAATGTACTTAGGATAGGTTAATGACAATTAATCACTTCAAATAAAAGTCAATAGGAATAGAAGGCGAATTAATAAATAAAAAGAATAACTAGAAGGCAAATTCAATAAACACTAAATTACAATCATGAACATAGTATGTAAAGTGTTTAAAGTGTCTCCACCGCGTCTATCCTGTTTCTATCCCTAATACCAAGTCTGTGACTTCCCATGCCCTAGTCTCTTGTGTGCCAACCCACAAACGCTGTGGTTCAACATTGAACCTAATCAAAGTAAGCAGTACCACAACATTTGTGG